GAAAGTCAAGGACAGAACTCCAGGTTTCACAGCCTGAAAACAGGCGGAAGGTGGTGAGAGTCCCAGCGTTAAAGAGGCCAGGACAGAGAGAACAACCAGAGGGACCGGCCAAGCGAGTGAGTGTGCCCCAAGCAGCAGATGTGTCCCAGGCCCACAGTGGGAGAGGCGGCAGGCTCTCGGGGAGGGGAAGAAGTACCTGGGGCTGTGGGGCATAGCATGCAGAAGCGACTTGGTTCTTGGTGCTCCGTCACCTGAAATAGGAAATGCCCTCTCTTCCTATCTGCCAGGCTCTCTGCTCTCAGCCTAAGCCTGTCTACCACAGGACTCTGCCCTTCCTCCTCAGATCCCTCGCAGCTCCTTCTGGCAAGTTTTGACTGCCCTTGTCATAGCCAGTGTTATCGTGAACAGCTAGCATTTCTTGGCTCTCCTGCCAGATCAGAAGCTCTGGCAGGCCATGTGCTCATTTACCCCATCTCCTGCACAGGCCTTTGGAGCAGCAGAAGCTCCGTGATGGCGCACCTGGGTGGCTCAGATGGTTAAGCGTCTGCCTTAGGCTCAGGTCATGATCCCAGGGTCCTGGGATCGAGCCCCATATCAGGCTCCTGGCTCAGTGGGAGCCTGCTTCTCCCTCTCCCTCTGCCTCTCTCCCTGCTCATGCTATTTCTGTGCCTCAAATGAATAAATAAAATCTTAAAAAAAAAAAGAAGAAGCTCAGTGATGCGCATCTCAAGGGAGCACTGCAGGACAGGTCACACCTTGCTGATGTGCACAGCACTCTTCTCTGAAAGAGTGTCAAGTATCCCTTGTTTGTCCTGGTTAAATATCACCATTGCTCTGAACACAGGATTATCCTACTCCAAGCAGCTGCAAAGAAAACAGAAGTGTAGGGCTCAAGTTCAGCTGTGTCTCTAGCCAGGCGCTTTCTAGCACCCAGGCTGCCGCCAGGTGCCAGCCAAGAGAGGCAGGGAGGGGACTCCCACCCCCCACCCCCCAATCTGGCAGCTGTCTGGACTCCCACTATCAGAACTTGACCATTTTCAACTTTCTTGAGACAGTGCTCCTATTCCACAGGGAAGTTCTAACAGGTCCATCTGGTGGTTTTAAGAATTCCCACAGTTACAGTCAAGCTGGAGCCCACCCTCTCTGGGAAGTGGCAAAGCCTCGGTGTCGGTGCGAGGAGATTTGTTCACACCCAAATAACGTTTCTGCCACCACTTTCTCCTCCCACAGGAGAGGAACGTTTTAAATCCTTGGGAAGCAGCCACACCACTGAGATTATCTTTTAATTGTGAGGAGGCAACGTGTGAAAGTAATACTGTGAGATCTGGCAAGTCACAGCACTGGAAGGTTTTCTCTGTTCAAGCACCACCAGCTACTTCACGTCCCCTCCTTGGGATCGGTGCCGACTGCCTGGGGCAAGGTGGCAGAGATGCCCAGCAGGAAAGCAGCCCGGGCATGGGCCTGGTGACCTGCTTGTCGGCAGACTGCTGAAAACTCCAATGGGCGCGCCAATGCCCAACTTCAGCCCACTCCCTCTTCACCACCGGACAAGCCTTCCTGAGAAGGTTTTGGGAACAGACGCGCTGGAATCAGTCCAAAGCAGGACCCGCATACCCAGAGAGTGCAGAGCAGATGCACCATAATTAACAGAGGGATGAGGGAGTGCCAGGGTCGGTTGTGAAATCGGTCATCCTTGGCTTGCACTTCCTGCTTCTTCCTGGAAGTTTGGTAAAACCTCTGCTGCGCTCTTGTGACAACTTTGCACTCACAGCTCTTACGCTGCAGGAAGTTTGCTAAGAATCCCAATTATAACTCTACGCAAAGAAGAGGTCATAAAAGCCCATGCCCACAGCACAGGAGGGGGTGCGGGGGGAGCAGGAAGTGAATAAAAACATGGGTAAAGAAGTCAATTTAAAGGCACACCGGAAGTTGCACGGCCTATTACAAGAGCTAGCAGAAAAAGGACACCATGATTGGATAACTTTAAGAAGTGCTGGGTCAGATAAAGTTGAGGAAATATCTTACTGTAGGATTGCTCAGAGCCTTTCACAAACTAACAAGCCTTGTCTGTCTGCAAGAAAAATGGAATACAGACTGATTCCCAAACTTATTTGACTGCAAAACCCTGAGCACCTTTCAGGGCTGGTATTACTCAGAAATAGGCTGCTAAAAAGCACAGCATACGTGTCTTGTTTTTTCTAAAGAGTATTCTTATCCTTTTTTTTTTTTAAAGATTTCATTTATTTATTTGACAGAGAGACACAGCGAGAGAGGGAACACAAGCAGAGAGAGTGGAAGAGGGAGAAGCAGGCTTCCCGCGAAGCAGGGAGCCCAATGCAGGGCTTGATCCCAGGACCCTGGGATCATGACCTGAGCCGAAGGCAGACACTTAACGACTGAACCACCCAGGCGCCCCACAGCATATGTGTCTTAAAAAGCACAATATAATCTGTATTATTCCAGCCCCACACACTGGGAGAAAAAACTTGTGTAGCTAACACTGAGTACTAACTAAAACTCACTTAGCTAGTACTATCACCCCTACCAGTACTCTCATTTCAAAAATGGGGGCAGTGATGATGAAGATACAGTCTTTCCTTAGCTGGCCTAAATAACCCCAAGGCAGTTCAAGACCAGTATGTGAACTTCAAAAGCCCCAGATGTGGGCTCCTTCCTGCTGCAAATTAGCTGGTGACTCTGACATGTCCCATCCTTACTGGGGTCCTGGTTTCCTCCTCTCTAGACTGAGGGGTTACAATAGATTTCTGAGGATGCTCCGGCTCTAACAGTCCACAGTGGACTACACTTTCATGACCCACCACGGAGTGACAGAAAACATGACTCTGCTCTGAAAGCTGGCTAGGTGTGACAGTTTCTGAGCCTATCACCTCTCCCCTTGCTCTCTCCTGAGCTCTGTGCTAACACCCTGGGTAAATGAAGCTGGGCTCACACCCAGTCACCCCAGGGCTGCACCCTCCCAATGTCCCAGCCCTGAAAGTCAGGGAAGCAAACATTTCCATCACAAGGACAGGGAGGGCAGCTCTCCAGGAGAGCTGGAGGGCCTCATGTCCAAAGCTCCTTCTCCCCATGGGACTGTGTGCCAAGAGGAAAAACCCAGCCCAGGGTAAGGAGGAGCAGAGTCACAGCCAGCCAGCTTTCGTCTTCCCACAAAGGATTCCCCACCAGATGTTGCTCTTTATAGGACCACAGCTGCTTCCTGTCCTGCCATATCCTGGGGCTGCCTGATGGACAGACTGTCTCGCTTGAATGCAGAAGTTACTTCTACCACAGTTTGCACAATCATTCCTGGGGCTGAAGATGTGGTTTAAGCCTAAAACTTTCAAGCTGGTATTAATACAGGGCAGCATTCAGGCCAATTATCTCGCCCACTGCTAGCACTGGGGACAACAAGCTTTCTGCATCTCTGGACAGCTGACTGCCTCTCAGATAGCAGCAGACATTTTATTTCTGATTCTGACAGGGAAAAAAAAGAAAGCCAATCATTACACAGAACGTATTCCAAGAGACTACTAGATCCTTACTAAAACTCAAAGTCCAGTGTTATAAAGCAGTTTTGTAATTGAACCAAGCTCTTACCAGATGGCACTTGCAGGAAAAAAAAGATGCAAATATTTTTTCTTTACTCAACTAATAGAGATGACTGCATTACATAAGAGACAAGATCCCTGCAAAGGTTCCATCAAGAAGCATTAAGCTGCAAGAGTAACGTTCAGGATGTTACAGACCAAGCTACTAAAATTTGCCCTGAGGGCTCCCTTTGACTAAACACCTCGAGACCAAGAAAGAGGCATCAAATGTTCACTTGGACAGTATACAATTATTCCCTGCTAGCCTCCTTTGTCTTTGCTCTGACCCTTGAAGGAATTCAAGGTGAGAAAGCTCATACTGTGAGTTGCAGGAAGGACCCCTCTAAGTACTCCCCCCCCCGACCTGCAGGAAACTTTGCAGCAGCTGCCAATGACCAGAATAAAATACAAGCAGGATGAGTTAATGCGCCTGGTGACATCCCGACAGAGCAGAAACCTCAGAGCTCATAAATCACCAGTCAGCAAAATTAAGCTTCCCTAGAACTGGTTTTGAGCAGACATGAAACAAGAGGCACAGGAGATCTGGAGCTAACAGGAGCCCCAGCCCTTCATTGTGGAAAAAGAATACCCCTGTACCCTCAGCTCAAAGGCAGAAAGGTTTCGGCTTTAAGTATGCTATCCTTTGCTCAAAAGATCAGGCCAGCTCAAAGGTCAACACATCTCAACTACCCTGCCAACACACACGGGTCCATCAGACCACACTTCTTGTGCTTCAAGACCCTCAGAGCCCCCTCACTTCTCCTCCCTCTCTAACCTGGGCTCTCTCTCCCATCTAGCCAAATCCCAGTCCAAACTAGACCCATGGCCAAGGTGTGGAATTCTTATAAAGTCCGTATTTCAGCGTGCGTTGGCTACCTCCCCACCCTCTCCCAACCTTCCTTTCCTAGCAAATCTCAGTGAGTCTCCTAACCTTGTAGGCTAGTTTGGCTGTTCGGGGGGTGAGGGGACAGCTGAACTTGGGATCTTCTCACATTTCTCTTTCCCACTAGAGGCTTCCACCTCTTCATTACGTTGTTGTCACCCCCTTTCCTAACGTGACTCAAGGTAGATGTCGCCCCAAGACTGCGGGATGGGGTAGCCACACTTCCCCCTCACTTGAAGTCGCTTCTCTCCCCGACGCTGGGGGTCTCCCTAACTGCGTCTGCTTCAGTCCCCTACCCTAGCAGGGTCCAGCCAGAGGGGCGACATCCGGGGAGCTAGAGGGCCCCGCCCCCTCCGCTGTTCCACCTGCTGCTAGTCCCGCCCCCCAGACACTACTATAGGCCAGCCCTCAGAGCCCATTCTCCCATTGGGCAGACAGCCCGTCTCTCCTACGCCACGTCTCCCCGCTCCAGCGAAAGAGGTCAGGGCCGCGGCCTTCGGCACTAGAGAGAACTGAGTTGGGGGCTCTACCTGGAAGGGGTTTACGTCCACTGGGTCTGCGAAGGGGTTGGTGTCGAAGGACGACATGGCGGTCGGGGGCTGACGAGCGAGCTCCGCCTGGGCTTCTGCCTCCGGGCACCCAGACCCAGCGGCGCTCTCCGTGCAGACCCTCCACTTCCGGGAGCGAGGCAGCTGTTCTGGCGCAGGCGCAGCGCCCTCCCAGGAGGGCGTGGTCCTTGACGTCACAGAGGTCTGTCCCGCCCTCCTGCCCAGCCCACTACAGAGAGGCGGTTGGCGGTTCGGCTTCCATCCGCTCCTTACCTATATTTGCACTTCGGGACTAGGGCCGGCGCCCAGGCAAGAGGGAAGCGGAGACGTTCCCAGAAGTCTGAGAGCTTGCAACTTGTGTTGGAAAATTCCCAAGTAAACTCCGCTAAGTGGAGTCGGAAAGTTAACCCTTTCATTTCCCTGGAGGGCAAGTTTGGGAAGTCGCACTGGTCCAGGCAGGAGACTGGAGTCTGAACCTATTTCGGCGGGAGTGGGGGACGGAGTTCCTGACCCAAGAGGACTTCGCTGAGCTAGGCGAGGGTTCTGGTGGTAGAGCCGAGCAGAGGGGTTCTTCTCGGAAGAACAGACCGTGCAGCTGTCCCACACACGTGCTGAGCCCTGATTCTTTTAGGTCTTGCCCCCTGCTGTCAAGTTTTATCGTTTTAGTGATGAGGATCCCTGAGCCCAGACAGGTTCAGGGCCTGAGCTGGGATTTGAATCTGGACATCAATTATTTGTTAAGGGAATGAGGGATTTCAACAATGGGTTTGATGGCTGCTCCCCACTACCCTTATTTCTTCATATCTTTCTGCTCTGCTCATTTCTGCTGCCACCGAATCCAGCCACTGCCATTCTGCCCTCCTGCTCTCGTACAGGGCTGCTAATTGATCCATTGTTGTTTATGTTGTAAACAGAAATCGCTTTAGGGCGCCTGGGTGGCTCAGTTGGTTAAGCGACTGCCTTCGGCTCAGGTCATGATCCTGGATTCCCTGGATCGAGTCCTGCATCGGGCTCCCTCCTTGGCAGGGAGTCTGCTTCCCCCTCTGACCCTCCCCCCTCTCATGTGCTCGCTCTCTCTCTCTCTCTCTCAAATAAATAAATACATAAAATCTTTAAAAAAAATCGCTTTAAAGCGGACAAAATATTATAACAATATTTATTATTTAAAATATTATTATATAAGGGGCACCTTCTTTATAATAGGCGCTACTATATATATATATATATATATATATATATATGATAGCCACCACTGGATGGCTCAGTCGTTGAGCGTCTGCCTTCGGCTCAGGTCATGATCCCAGGGTCCTGGGATTGAGCCCCACATCGGGCTCCCTGCTCCGTGGGAAGCCTGCTTCTCCCTCTCCCACTCCCCCTGTTTGTGTTCCCCCTGCTTGTGTTCCCTCTCTCGCTGTGTGTGTGTCTCTCTCTCTGTCAAATGAATAAAAATCTTTAAAAAAATAAAATGTTATTATAAAATAATATTACATTATTTTATTTTTTTAAACCTTACTGCTTAAAGTCTTTCAATTATTTTCCATAAAGACCCAAATTCTTGTATGGCCTCTAGGTCCTATAGGATCTGCCCCCACCCATCCAGCCCTCCTAGTGGCTTTTCAGTTCCTCAAACTTCCCTTGTTCCCTCCCACTTGGGGACCTTTGCCCATGAAGTTCCCTCTTCCTGGTATGCTTTTAGCCTATGCCCTCATCAACCCTAGTTAACCCCTACTTATCCTTTTATCCAAGCTCAGATGCCCCCTCTTCAGGAGTGGCCTCTCCACTCTATAGGTTAGATCACCTCCTTCTACCACAACAAACGCTTATATTACCTTGTAGTTTTGCTTCAAAATAGGTATTGCGGATTGTAAGTATACACTTGTATTGGTGGTTATTTGTTTATGTCTGTCTCACTCACTAGACTGTAAGCCCCACAAGGGCAGGAGTAGGGTCTGTTTTGCTCATTGTTTTATTTCTGGCACTAACATAGTACCAAGCACATGATGGGCAGTAAGTAAATATTTATTGTTTACCTCACCCACTTTTCTTCCCTTCCTCTTTCCTGGCTAAATTCCAACTTCTCCCAGAAGGTTCATATGGCTAGGGGAGTGGGGATGAGGAGAAGGAGAGGTATTCAAAGGTAGCAGGTATGTGAGATGTGCTGTTTGTAGGATTCTTGTATTTTCCATTTTATTATTCCTTAGTGTAGGGTGAAGCTTCCTTTGAAGTGCAGGCTGATTTATCTGAGCCAGGGGACCCTGGGGGAGGTGGATGTCCACAGCCAGGCAGAACATTACAGAGAAAACCACCCCTCCTTTCCCCTGGGCATGTGAGGTAGAGACTGTGGGAATTGGGGAAGGGGGGAGGGAAGCAGAGTCAGGACTGTAGTCCCTCATTCCAGGTGCCTCAGCTGGCTTGTCCTCCTCCTGGGCTGCTGCCTGAGGTCCGGATGTAAGGGCCTATTTCCAGAGGATTAAGCAAGATTACTCCACAAACAAGGCCCAGCCCAGCCTTCAGCGTGCAGAGCTCCAGGTGATTTCTCCCTGACTTCTGTGCGTTTGACATGTGAGCAGCTCAGCCTGGAGGAGCGACTGGGTTTGTGTCTGCAGTACTTAGGGCAGGGAGGATCACAGGAGCACCGAGCACTGACTGCCTTCCTGCACCTCACACCATCTCATCTCACTCTCCCACACACCTGTCAGGCTGACATTGTTAGCTCCATTTTATAGAGGAAGAAACTGAAGCTGAGGTGGTTAAGGGCCTTGCATGTGACATTTGCCACCATCAAGCATCAGTGAGTCCCTACTTAGATCACAGCAATTCTGGGGCGCCTGGGTGGCTCAGTGGTTAAGCATCTGCCTTCGGCTCAGGTCATGATCACAGGGAGTCCCGCATGGGCATTGGGCTCCCTGCTCAGCAGGAGGCCTGCTTCTCCCTCTCCCACTCTCCCTGCTTGTGTTCCCTCTCTCGCTGTCTCTCTCTCTGTCAAATAAATAAATAAATAAAATCTTTTAAAATTAAAAAAAAAAGATCACAGCAATTCTTTGCTGACTGAGCTACTCAGTAAAAGCTGAAGTTCTCACAATAGCCTGCAAAGTTCTGCCCACTGCCTTTCCTCTCTGACCACCTCACGTGTACCCCGCCTCCACACACATGCTCACTCTGCTCCAGCCACATTGGCCTCTCTGCTATTTACTCCAGAATAGGACAAACACATTCCCACGTTCCCACCGTAGAGTCTTTGCTCAAACTATTTCTTCTGCCAGAACATTCCTCCTCACCTTCAAGTCTGTGCTCAAGCCTCCCCTCCGTGTTGGGCTCCCTCCTCAGCGGGGAGTCTGCTTCTCTCCCTCTGCCTTTCCCCCCAACTCTTGCTTTCTCTCGCTCTGTGCTAATAAATAAATAGTCTTTTAAAAATATATAAAATGAGACTTACCGAGACTTACCAATGAGACCGAGACGTTTAAAATTCGGCAAACGGCTTCCCACTCCCACCCACCCCCCCCTTACTTTTCGTGGAATTTATCTTTCTTTCTTTTTAAAGATTTTAGAGGACACAGCGAGAGAGGGAACACAAGCAGGGGAAATGGGAGAGGGAGAAGCAGGCTTCCCGCGGAGCAGGGAGCCCGATGCAGGGCTCGATCCCAGGACCCTGGGATCATGACCTGAGCCGAAGGCATAAGCTTAACGACTGAGCCACCCAGGCGCCCCAAGGAACTTATCTTTCAACATACTATATGATTTACTTATTTATTATACCTATTTGCTCGTCTTCCCTTCACCAGAATTGCGCTCTATAAAGGCAAAGGGATCTTGTTCTAGGATGTATCGCCAGCCCGCGGCATTTTGCCAGGGCTCAGTAAATCTCTGCCCGATGAAGGAACGAACGAACGAATCCTGAGACCCAGGATTGCAGGCCGGAAGTCTCTGGGCTGCTGGAGGCTCCTCGTGACAGCTGGAGGGTGGGAGAGGCGTGAAGAGAGTCCGGGGAGTGTCGGCACAAGGCACACGGGCCTCCAAGGAGGCGCTCGAGGAACTACATTTCCCATGAAGCTCTGGGAGCAGAGGGGCCGCGGGTGCTGCCGGGAAGGGCGTACGAGCCCGAAGCCTGGTCCGGTACCGGGAGGATGGCGGTTCAGCAAGGTGGGCTGTCGCCTGGGGTGCCGAGGAACGTGGGGGTGGGTCGCGTCGCGTCGCGGCGACCCTTCCCGACCTGATATGCCAGGTGGGACCCAGGCTTGCGACTCCGCGGAAAGACAGATGGGCTCTGGACAGAGGAGGGGGCACCCGCGATGGGGATTGAGCCGTTGTTTCAGCTCTCGCAGGAGGGTCTTGAGGGGAGGAGCCGCGCGTGGGTCACTTCGAGACGGGGTGTCGTGTAATAGGTTCCTCCGGCTCCCTCCCCGTCCCTCCACGCAACTATCTCCCTCATGTCTGCGGAGAAGCCTTACTGCCCGCTGTACAGATGGGAATATCGAGGCCTGCGGAGAACCGTCTCAACAACCTACAGACTACTTATTTGACTTTGTCCCCCAGACAGAACCCTCAGCTCGTGTCTAGTTTTCCCAAGACTGTAGGGTCAGGCCTCAGGAATGGAGTGGAAGCTGACCCACGGTCTCTGCCCTCCTGCCTCCTAGTATTCCCACTTTCCTGTGTGGTGCAGCACTATGCCTGGGGGAAGATGGGTTCCAACAGTGAAGTGGCTCGGCTGCTGGCCGGCAGTGACCCACAAGCCCGGATCTCAGAAGACAAGCCATATGCAGAGGTGAGACCCGGGTTGGATTTCATTTTATATATTTTTAAAAGACTTTATTTATTAGCACAGAGCGAGAGAGAGCAAGAGTTGGGGGGAGAGGCAGAGGGAGAGAAGCAGACTCCCCGCTGAGGAGGGAGCCCAACACGGAGCTCCATCCCAGGCGAAGATAGATGCTCAACAGGCTGAGCCACCCAGGCGCCCCTGCATTTCACTTGAACAGCAGGTGAGACCAAAGGATTCCTCCAGTCAGAGGGCCTGGGGCAAGTCCTGTGGATCAGCTGGGAGAGGGAGGCCACAAAGCGGGAGGAGGCCCTCTTGGCTCTTCAGATCCCAGCAGGTGATGGATCCAGATGGCAGCACCGAAAGAAGAGAGGTTTTGTCATACTAGGCTG